AGCGAAACGATCGGTCATTTCAAAAATAAATAAAAAAGTTAAAGTTTTATAGGCACAAATGCTCGCCTTGCGAACTCTCCTGTTCGAACTCGTTCATCAAAATGAACAAATCTTTTTTCGAGTCAATGACTCGAAAAAAGATTCGTTCATTTTGATGAACGAGTCAATGACTCGAAAAAAGATTTGTTCATTTTGATGAACGAGTCAATGACTCGAAAAAAGATTCGTTCATTTTGATGAACGAGTCAATGACTCGAAAAAAGATTTGTTCATTTTGATGAACGAGTTCGAACAGGAGAGTTCGCAAGGCGAGCATTTGTGCCTATAAAACTTTAACTTTTTTATTTATTTTTGAAATGACAGATCGTTTCTCTAGATAAGACCCTTATTCATCGTCTGGTATCGTTTAAAGCCCTTTGAAGCTGAACTGAAACGGTCATTTAGACCTTGAACCGTTTGGCTACCATTGAAGTCCATTATATGGAGAAAAATCCTGGAATTTTTTCATCAAAAACATTAATTTATTTTCGACTGAAGAAAGAAAGACATGGACATCTTGGATGACATGGGGGTGAGTAAATTATCAGCAAAAGTTTTTTTTAAAGTGAACTAATCCTTTAAAATGCCCAACTTTACAGCAGAAAAAAACATGTTTACAGCCTGGAGCAAAAAGTGGTTTTGGTCTTTATAGCTTATAACGCAGTAAGTAACGGAGTAACGCGGACAAAAATAAGACGACATGGCTGAATTTATGGAACCAGCTGAAGATTATAGGGAATAGGCAGAACCCTTTGGACTAATTTAGCGATGAAAAATTGTTGCAAGATTACCGATTTGATCGACGCGCAATATTTGACATCGCTATCAAACTAGACGGCTGTCTGTCTGTCATTACACGCGACTCGCATGTAAACTATCACAACGTTAAGTCAGTGCGTGCACGGAGAGTGTGTGGCCGACCCATGCAGAAAAAAAATTCACAGGAGAACGAGCTGATTCTGTGTTTTAAAAGGAATCATGACAGAAGAAAACAGGTATGCTATGGAAATATACTCAGCTGTATTTCGAGACACAGAACCAGAAGTGCATTCACAAAACCTAAACAAATGCCAAAGCATGAGACGGTGAACAACACAAACTTCCGCCACGTTCGGAGCTAACGCGTGTTGCGTGATAGCGTCACTGGACTGACGCGTGATATTCCGACATGTTAGTGTTTTGCGTATCTATGGCAACAACAGACTTTTATAACGTGAATCCAGGATCGCTGTCGTGAAACACTTAAATGTTTCCCTTACCTAAGAGAACCGTTTAAGAGATTATATGCAACACCCTTAAGTTGTTCTCTTAGGTAAGGGTAAATCGCCCCTTAAGTATCACACTTAAGGGAAAAACTTAAGGTGCTTTATGCAACCGGGCACTGGTCCGTACGGATCACAAATCACAAAAAGAAGTTGTCTTGAGTTGAAGATTTAGGCTACTTGCAACTCATTTTGAGGTAAACCTGAGGTTATATCTTTATCTTACTTAAAATTTGGCCGCCCATCATATGTACAGATGCTAGATATACAGATTTTCAATTTTTATATGAAATATGTAATTTCCTAAACATGTTTTAATGCTCCAAATTTGAGGTTGAGATCTCAAAAATGAGCTTTCAGTAAGATTTTGTTTGGCCGCATTTTTGACCACGAACAATATAAGTGTGACTTTTTTTCAGGACCATGTAACCTGTAGGACTAGATGACTGTTGCAAAATTTCCGTTTTAACATTAATGAAATTAGTCTTTGCGCACATATTACTTATACTTATTTACTTGTAAATACGGGCGTTGCTTATATGTATTTCTCCATCATTGAAGATTACAGTATGTAGCATTTCTCGATTTTAATTGATTCTTATTTTGATGAGCCGATATCGATTTTTAAATACCAAGAATAGGTCTTTCAGTCTATGCTATTTTGTAGCATCCAATAAATCGCAGGCGGAGAAACATAATTATATCATTAAAAAGTTATTGTTTATAATGTTATAATTATTATAAAAAACTTAATTTAAATGTTTGTATACAAATCAATTTTTAATTTTTTTCCTTGAGAAAGATTGACGTGTACTGTACATGATCTGTATCCAAATGAATTTAATAGACTCTAAAGCTTTGTTAAAGATTTCTTTTAAAGGGCATATTGCAGGTTAGAGGACCCAACGAGTCAATTTTACAGAAAAATAATGTGGGAACTAGATTTTCTTTAAAATATACTTATAAATACGCTACAGAAGCTTCTGGGGTCGTTTTTGTGAGAAAATTTTACTTCTGCGTCTGAAAATGGGCGTGGCGAGCGTGACGTAACGGGCGGGAGAGCGGTCGATTCAAACAACAGGAAAACAATGGATCGCAATGACATTTCGGACGCTGAGGAAATACTCACTCATATGACGGACCACAGCCATACACTTATGAGCCTGCCATGCTGCCAAGAGAGCTGGACAGGCCAGGACTAATGTCAGACAGAACGTCAGAGACACATTGAGTTGTGGTGTGAGAACCAGTGGAGAACAGGACAGGTGTCTTGGTGAGAGACGTGCTTATAGATATACACTGTGCTCACAATATTGTACAGATTATTACCATCGTATATCAGGCCAGCAGACATTAGTATGTTTAGGGTAGATTTATACTATTAAATGTATAAAAACTATACTTGAGTATATTTCTATACCCAAGTACATTTTTAATACATATTTTTCATCTGGGTTATAACATAAACAGAAAATTAAAGATTTGAATATTTAAACAACCTGAGTAATTTTGTTTTTCAATTACAAGTTGCCTCTATTTAGGGCATGACTACCTATATCACATAGGGGTGGAACGGTACACAGAAGTCACGGTTCGGTTCATACCTCGGTTCAGACATCACGGTTCGGTGCGATTTCGGTACAATGGAGTGAATAGCAAAACAAAAATATAGAAGGCTTTTTATATAAATGTCTTAAGCCTTGTATTTTTTAAATAAGTTTTATTAATAAAGGCATATAACCAGTTTATTTGTAGTGCACTGACAGTAGTTTTATATAATTAGTTTATTAATTAAATTATTAAAAAGACGAAAAGACCTTGAGATATGTTTGGTAATTGTACCTGAATGAATTTAAAATTAATTTGCTATTTCAGATCAATATATTTGTTTCCTTCATTTTAATTAACCCTAACTTTATTCTCATCTGAATTATAAATAATTGATTTCCGTATAAAATAATACTACCACTAAAAACTTTTGTCAACAGTTGTAGGTTACAGTTTGATAAGAGTTTAGAGTGTGACAAAAGCACAATGTTGTGTTTTATTGCGAGTGTACACAAATATGAGTAAACAATTTGCAGTTTTAATGATGTCCTGTATGAAAAAAATGACGGAGTATATTTTTATGTTTCCGCTGTTTGATCGCCCGTGCCTCTCTCACACACACACAGTTCGATCGCGCGATTCGCGCCCGCGCCTCTCTCTCTCTCTCTCTCTCTCTCTCTCTCTCTCTCTCTCTCTCTCTCTCTCTCTCTCTCTCTCTCTCTCTCTCTCTCTCGCACGCGCGCGCACACACACACAGTTCTCTCGCACGCGCGCGCACACACACACACACAGTTCGATCGCGCGATTCGTGCCCGCGCCTCTCTCTCTCGCACGCGCGCACACACACACACACACACACACACACACACACACACACACACACACACACACTGTTAATCGCGCCTCTCTCTCTCTCTCTCTCTCTCTCTCTCTCTCTCTCTCTCTCTCTCTCTCTCTCTCTCTCTCTCTCGCACACACACACACACACACTGTTAATCGCGCCTCTCTCTCTCTCTCTCTCTCTCTCTCTCTCTCTCTCTCTCTCTCTCTCTCTCTCTCTCTCTCTCTCTCTCTCTCTCTCTCTCTCTCTCTCTCTCTCGCACACACACACACTCCAGCATTGCAATCTTGATCGCAGCCTGTTCATTGCTGCGTTCACAGTCACACCAAAAGCGAATAGAGCGAAATTTATCGCTATTTAAGAGTTTTTTTTTATATTTGTACCGTGTATTCTCCGTGCAAATTCGTGCACCGAACCGTGATGCCCGTACCGTTTCGGTTCAATACGAATACATGTACCGTTCCATCCCTAATATCACACTATTTCATGCCATTGGTACAGTATTAGACGATCAATATTTTTGCTTCGGCATCCCATGTTGAACTCCATCATATCGCCGGGATGATAATCCTCCGATCTGAAGTGAACGCTACACACGACCGCGTTTCTCGAAGCCGATGCGGAAGAGAAATCCCGTCTCTTCACCTGCACAAACCGCACCAGGCACGAAAGATATACAACACCGTCCCTTTTCTTGTTATGGAAACCTGTGGACTCGATGTCCTGACAGGCCGGAGTTTTTGCAACCTCCACAAACAATAATTTACCCTACCGAAAGCACACTGACTCACAGCCGCTCTCACTGAACACCAGCCTATCTGCACTGAGCCGAGGCTGAGGCTCCTTAGCGTGACGTAAAATGACGCGATTTTGAAAAAAAAAGCCGTTTTTACGAGCAGTCCAAGAAACGCTCACTTTATCTACTAAATTAGTGCCCTTATGTCATTTTAAAACATTTTAAATCCTGCATTAACTTTTCATATGGTATTTTCATACAAGGTTATATATTAATTTAGATTTTTTTTTTTTTACCTGCAATATGCTCTTTAAACACAAAAGAAATGTGTGTCAATGCCCAGTCCTGCTCTGTCCCACTGTCAAAATTAGCACAAAACCTTGTGGTTGTCATTTCTTCATGACACCTTCCGATCACGCACTGGATAGATACTATTACAAACATTATGGGTTTTATACGTTACATATGTTAGGTCAGGTAAGTGTATTTTGTAATGTGCCAACTGTAGCCTTTATTACAGAACTGTAACATCTTTCATTCAGCAATTAAAGCTAATTCTGTTCTGTTTCTTCAGATGAATCAACCGGCGGACCTTGGTGGATAGTGATTATTGTCCTAATCCTAGTCATCCTAATCATCGCCATCATTTTCGCCGTCTATCGCTATAAACACAACAAAGACTTTAAAAGTAAGTTTCCTTTTGTGTTTTATCTTTTAGAATACGAGTATTTTGCTTATAAGCTATTTTCTATGAGACAGAAGTGTATTTGTTTATGCTATGATTGTTTAAAAAAAATAAAGCTCAAGAGATTATTTTTTATTTTATTGCGAAAGACAAATTAAGCATAGTTTTTGCACTAATAGTGGTGTTAATGCAGCAAAATAGAACACAGAACAGCAAGTGTTTGTCTTTAATTTTATCCCTGTTTTACCAATGGCATTCTTAGAAATCTCTTTTGTACTGTGTGTCGTTTACTCATGCTCGGTGCTAGCAAAAAGTTTCAAAGTGTACATTCAACAAGACTTTAATTTTTTTAGTCTGCTAATTGATCAGGTTGTAATCACATTTGTTTTTTACACCAGGCCTTGTTGATGCCAAATGTCCATGTATCAAAGGTGAGTTTATGATTGTTCAAGTGATTTTATTCAAAAAAATGATTCCATACCAGGCTAGCAAATACTATAAAAAATACTTGATACAAGTAATTTGATGTACATTTAATTTCTTTAAACAATTATTTGTCATTTTATAACATCAGATTGCAAACATGTTCTTAAATGACTGAGCACTATTATTATTTTAATCAATTAGGGAGGGGGGGGGGGGTTCCTTTTGATGGATTATTTGTTATTTTGAGCAACAAGTTAGTAATAGGTTTTGTATATTTAACATATTATTCATATCAATCTGCCCTGTGAAGTTTTCCATAACAAAGCCTCAAAGGAAATCATACATGTTATTTAGGTTTATTCAAGTTCAGCATTTTAAAGGCCAGATGAACTAAACAGGGCAAATTAGCATAAGAGCTCTTTAATATAGTAAAAGTGCCGATGGGAGTGAAAAGTTCTGCGCGTGATCTACTGACGACGCAAATTAAAGAACACAGATGTAACCGGATCATATCCATAATGACCAATGCAATCTATCAAGAGCAGAGCAGAGCGAATTAGCGTCTAGTTTAAGACATGCTTTTTTTGGGGCGGTAAATAATGCCGCAAATACCAGTTCATTGACAAGCAAAAATCTTAGTAAATCACCTTGCATGATTAATTTAAATAATCTCCTCCCATAAATGTTGCGTCTGAAAGGAAACTCCTACAAATGCATATGCAATAAGGTCAGCCGCAAAAATCTTTTCATCGCCTTTTTTCATCGCATGTCTTTTAGGGGCTTTCGCACCGCAGGAACTGGAAACGATTTTAGTTCTAGGAACTCTTTTGGAGGAACTAATTCAGCTCCTACTCCAGAGTCGGGTCTAAACCAGCGCTATAGGAACTACCACTGATGTTAATCCCCGTTCACACTACAAGCGACTTTGTCGCTGCAGGTCGCCAGTGGCTGGCGGTTAGTTCGCTGGAGGGCGTTCCCACTACTGGTTGCCTAGTAATGTTTCTGAGTGACGTTCACGGATGTTACTCTATGTTAGACAACAAATACGTTTTCTTGCCGCTACAAACAAACATTTTGGAAGGAAAAGTCTAAATATAAATGGTAGGGATCGACCGATATGGATTTTTTAGTGCCGATACCGATACCGATTTTTTTCCCATCAGCCTTAGCCGATGACCGATACGGGCTGCCGATTTTCTTGAGCCGATATTTGGAGCCGATACATTTTGCTCCCTCAATTTACATCATGTCATTGTCAAAAATGACATGATGTTAACAAATGTTACAGGTCTCAATTTAATAAAAGTAACATTTATTTAACGTAAAAAAAAAAATATTTAACAAATAGTAAAAACATGTGAGGTAGAACAAGAACAAGTAGATAAACTATATTTAACAAATATTAAAAACATGAGTTAGAACAAAAAAAAGTTCACTGCTGAAAATAAATATTTAGGCATAAATAAAATAATTACATTATTGCACACAGTAGCAACCAGCATAATAAAGTGCACAGTGCACACTGTACTTCATTTTAAAAGTAACAAACTATTTACTGCCATGGTTTAAATTTTTCTACATAAAATAAAATGAGCATGTCTAGTCTCTAATATCACTGCGATGGCGAGGGAGACACACACCACACGCGTCCAAACCTCAGCCAGGTGGTCGCTGAATAAATCTCCCACAAAAAGCACAGAAGAACGTTGGTATTACTTAATCCTATGACCAGTGTTCGTAACAGCTACCGTACGCATACTAGGGCTGTCAAAATTGCTCAAATGGCGTTTGTATATTCCCTTCAAAAAAACATATTTGAACATATCGTCGTGCATTTGGTCAATGACGCGCATTACGTCAATAACAGGACAAATTAATACAAAGAGACATAACTACTAGTATTAAGTAGCTTATTTGAGTTGAAACATATTTGACAACGTATTACTACAAAAAAAACCGAGTAAATCAACTAATGGCCAAGACCGCAGAGCTCACTCTGGCTCGCCCGGACTCGCAGGCGCACTCTCTCTCTCTCTCTCTCTCTCTCTCTCTCTCTCTCTCTCTCTCTCTCTCTCTCTCTCTCTCTCTCTCTCGCACTCACCCTCACGCTCTCCGCGCATACCGGTTTAAATGAACAACAACAAACAAATGTTGAGTGCTGATCAAGAGTTTTGTGCAAGCAATTTAAGGTATATAGCAGGCTTCATTCAGTGATTGAAACAAATACATTAATTGAAGTTTCACAGTACATAGAACCGACACTGAGCGCTCCGAGCGAGCTGTGCTGTGGTAACGTTAGTCTGCTACCGCGGGCGTGTTTTTCCACATTCGAATATTAATTTTCACCTTCAAAATTCAGTTTTTTTTAAACTAGTCAAATATATATTCGTATTTAGAATATTCATTGACAGCCCTAATGCATACTGAACGGATAGCCTACAGCTATTTGCAGCTCCCTAAATACAATGGCAAGCAAGCAGTTTTATAGACGAGTCATTCGCGTTTTCCATTTGGACCCACAAACTTGCTTAGCTATATAGTTGCAACCACATAACAGTTATAGAGCAACGTGTTTCCATTTTCAAAGTGTTTGACAATATTTCAGCAGTCAAACAGTTAAAAGATGCTTTGAAAGTTTAAAAGTTACCGTTATCTTGAAGCGCAGGTTGCACTCTGCTAGTGGGGAGGGACAGTGCAGGGTCTGCACGTGAACTGCAGCGTCTCCAGCAGCACAGAGCTGCCTGTGGACGCCTGTCTATAAATAATGCCGGGAAAAAACTATCGGCGAACGCAGCAGCCGCGTATCGGCCGATTCCGATACACGTAAAAAACGCAAATATCGGCCCGATATATCGGCCGGCCGATATATCGGTCGATCACTAATAAATGGAATCAGTACATAAAATGCATAATATTAAAGATGAATGAGAAACAGTGAGTGCTCTTTGCCATCGCGGCTATTTAACTGCAGCAAACGGGCAAATAGCGGTCTATCTGTGTTCCCGAAACCCTTCATGCACGGAGTCAGTGCGGTGAATACCACTGTATGTACACGGAGATATATCATACATTATAGGACAGTTTCTGACTGCTAAAATGTGCTTCTCGTTCAACTTGCCTCGGTCAGACTCAGCACTGAAGAGTGACGCCCTCCACTGACTTTACTACTTTTGGTTGTCGCTCCCGAAAGTCGCTCTTCATTTGCATAAAGTTAAACAGATCTCAACTTTGTCGCGTCGCCAGACACACCCCACCGGTCGCTGTCGCGCGTCGCCCGAAATCGCCCGCTCCCCATTTAAATGAATGGTACCGTGTCGCTTGTATTGTGAACGGGGCTTTAGTGTTCACTGATTGGCTGAATACACGCGGAACACCAGCACCCGCCATTTTTAAAAAAGCTGTGTAAACACAGATTATAGCGTATATATTTACTCCAGAAACGAACTCTACGAACATGTAAAACACTGATAGATGGAGCTCTTAACCTTTACGCTGAGGAGAAAATCCAACACAAATTTGAGGTGACCAAGCGAAGCATGATTATGTATTTCTGCTCATCTAGCAACACTGGACATCAACCACACGGCATACGCTTATACATTTTCATTACTGTCTACTTTCTATGTATGACAGTTCTATCTAATAATGTATTAGACAGGACTGTTGGACAGATCGTAAAATAATGAACATGGAGAATGCTAGCGCTGTGTGCTCAGGCTCTGGCGTTCTCAACGCCGGAAAAATAAAAGTCACAACAACAAGCGTGGCTCACATCACTTCAGAGTAACTAACGCCGCTGCGAATGCAACCAGGAAAACGTTCCTAGGGGAACCATTAGTTCTCGGTGGCTCGTTCCTAACTATCCGGTGCGAAAGCCCCTTATTAAATCCTGACAGTAGGTTTTTAACGTCAAAAGAAAGTTTGTGCTGGAGGAAGCTGTTTGTAAATCTGGTGAATAACGTGCAAAGGTTCATTTATTTCAGTAATTCAACTTAAAAGGTGAAACTAATATATTATATAGACTCATTACATGCATAGTGAGATATTTCAAGCCTCTATTTGTTATAATTGTGATGATTATGGCTTACAGCTTATGAAAACCTCAAATTCAAAATTAGAATATTGTGAAAAGGTTTTCATAAGCTGTAAGCCATAATCATCACAATTATAACAAATAAAGGCTTGAAATATCTCACTATGCATGTAATGAGTCTATATAATATATTAGTTTCACCTTTTAAGTTGAATTACAGAAATAAATGAACTTTTGCATGTTATTCTAATTTTTGTTGTTGAGTTTAAAGGTGTATAATAGTGATATAAAACAACCATTAGATCATTAATTGCTAATCTGATTTTACACTGAGTTTTGAGTGAAGCAATCCGATTGTATTTAAGGAATATAAAACACTCAAACTATCAGAAAACTGTTAGTCAGCAGTGCAGAGATACGGTATGGGTCATGGTATCTGATACATAGACAGCACAGATGCAACACGGTGCAGTGAGGACAGAGGACTTCAAATAAAGATTTTTAACTTAAAAAGTGATTTTTATCTTTTTATAGTTGCATGTAT